TCAAGCATTCGGATCGGATCGCTAGTTGGTATGTCGTACTACACATCTCCTACAGTATCTAGTCGGCTTAGACTATCCACTTCTCCATACATCGATAGCCTATCAAATATATCTTCCAACCTCTTTGCTTCTGACTTTTGATTTTAATCGGATGGCATACTTCGATTAGAAAAGATGTTAATGGTCAAGGTGTTGTCAAACTCCAAATAATTGCGGCATTTTTACATTTTTTCAGTCTCCTAGGAGTTTTGACCACTTCGAAGACAATATCAAACATTATTGTCAGGGGTTCAGCAATTACGTACGTCAGAGCTCCCGTAATTTCGGTCGTAAGACAACTCTAGTCTCAGTAATAGGAGAATTCATAGACAGAATGCTCTTGTTACAATTAATTGTTAATAAATTAATATCATCTGCAGAAAATGACCCACTAAAATATTTTGACAGAGCTTCAGCACTCTCAACAACTTAAAAGGGTAATTCCAACAAATCTTCCCAAGCCAGAAGCGGGGGATAATGTCGTTGATGTGGGTTTATCAATTACATACATGAATAAACTTTCGAACCACTTTCAGAATTCCCTGTGTTCTAATAGGCTTTAGAAAACGAGCGTAAATATGTTGATGAATGGATAAAGAACTGTCTAAATGAAGGTGGTGTCAAAATACTGAGGAAGCACAAAGCCGTCAAATTGTGACAACAGGTAAGGTTTCGCCCCGAGATGAATACATCGCTGTAACCGAGAGAAATGGATGCGTTTTATAGCATGTATCTACAGAGAAGAAGAGATTATAAAACCAAGACGAGGAGAATTGACCGTCGAGTTCCCAATGGGTTACCAGTGTACATAAGAAACTTCCGACATAAGGGGCTTACATGGGTAGCGGGTGTCATCGTAAGAAGAGTCGGTGACTTGATGTACGAAATTGATGTTCCACATAAAGGCCTGATGAGACATGTAAACCAAATCCATGATATATGGTTAAATTCAGGTAGAGACCCTTTTAGGTAGGACTTGCAACCAGATTATCAGATACGGTCAGTTTGTAGCACCAGGATCAGTGTGGAAGAATTAATGGCCAGACCGCCAGGAAATCATTAGGAAGAAAAGAATTCTCTAAACGCTTTCGGTTAAACACAAGTAGCAAGACTTATTTTTCAGGAAAACAAGGTGATATGGAAAGCCAATCAGAGGTAGTCTAACAAGAAATCAAATCAATGGCAATGAGAGGTGACTTAGAAGACAGGCACATCTCACCGTCTAAGAAATGGGTCAATTTTCTAATGATAAGAGTTGTATATATAAATGAGTATTTGTACATATTAATCCGTAGTCCAGTGCACTTTCTCGCTCACTTTTGTGTTCTCGCTCAAGTAATCAGTTGGGGGTTAGCGCGTAGCACACAGTGTATCAATATCAGATTTCGAACACCGCCCTTTTCAACAACTTGTTTCACGTAAACAAATGAGTAAAGCAAGAATATTTTATTTATCATTCACGGTGACGTAATCTACTATGACGCCACGTATATATGAGGAACAATTACCTGCACGCTGATGACGTGGAGGTAGCCTACTCATGTAGCAAAGAATAAGTATGTAATACAGCTAACTGTATGCGGTAAAATTAAGAAAGTTTGCATTACGGTGTTGAAGATAACGATATCATTTTAGTACTAACAAATGCAGTTGAGTTAGTATCTAGTTCTGTGATCAAGGACTTCATTTTGAAGTCGATGGTATAATAATATTAGAATATAATACTTTTTTAAAGCTTGGCTTAAGATACTCAAATGACCTAAACTACCGGAACCAATAATGTCAATCAGCTCAAAAGCACGAAAACTTATAGGTTGTGGAATTCATAATTTTCACGATCTCGGGTCGAGGCTAATAGTACAGAAGGTATGTGTCCGCCCATTGCATGAATATTGTCCGTTTTCACCAAGTAGCCTTCATATAAGAGACAAGTGGAGAATCAAGGGAATACGGTCATACTTAATAAGCAAGACCTTAGGAATACATAGTGAACGAAGATATTTGGCACAATGTGATACAGTAAGGTCGCGATTCCTATGGAAAGCAGATTTTGGCGTAATTCTAAATTTTACTGTGAGCTCGTAAACCAGTTCCTACACTCATCAAGCCCAATATAATGCTTCACGGATTTTCCCGATTATAAACTAAGAAATCACATTAGGTTAGTCTAAATACACCATAACCAAAAGAGGACATTGAAAATCCCTCGAAGGCATTTATTTGAACCGTATTGTCATTTATTTGTTTCTTCTCTCAGTCTCGCATCCTAAATTTTATTCATGTATCTTTTGATTACACTCTATGTTCTTCAGTCTCTCTTGTCTGAGCTTCTATTATTTTACTTTTGTTAGAGAATCACCTCTTATTATCTAACTTTATTATCGCATGCTGCCGAGCTATCGAAAATAGGGTCGTATTTGACTAGACTGAGGGCGATGACGTTGTACGGCTGATGATTGTTAACCTCTGAATGTCCGCTTGTAAAGTTTGCCGGAATCCCTGCAGGTAGACACCGTATCCCGTCTTGTTGGGAACACTCTTATTGATTCCCAGTTTATTAACCATTGCTTTCGTTTTCCGGCACTTTAGTTTGTTCAGAAGAAACCCTTGACTGTATGTTTTAGGCTGTATCATTTGAGATATTTTGAACTTTTGATATAATTTATTCTTTTTTGTAAATTAAAAACATTTAAATGAACGACGAATTTTATGTTTTGAAATACTTGAACGCTAGTCATTCAAACGCTCCTTATGCTATACTGAGGAACGTAGTCCGGCTCAATCGAAAATTTTTGGTTCGTTAGTTCTGAATCCAAACCAAGAGATGGAATTTCGATAATTACAATCAACTTCAGTCAACGAAATCTGGACCAAATGTCATTAATTACCTTGTCAAGTTTGTGAGAGTACTAAAATTAGAAGAAGCGACTCTCAGAACTTTATATATAGCGAATTTGAATACATCATCGTAATACATCTAAATTACCTTTCCACAAAGTGACTCCGAATTACGCCTTAGCTCGTACTTCCGATCAAGAGTTCCTCTACAATAAAGTGCGTTAAACAGATACCTGGAAATCAGCAACATTAAATAACAAGCATATGTAAACGATCGTCTATTCTACGAATCATATGACGTTTTCCTCAAATAATACTAATGTCTCGTCTTTTTAACACAGCATCCACATGACACGCTCTCATTCACACTGTTCACTTCAGTTTTAATTCAGCATTTTGTTGTCCTGAATCGGCAGCTAAGCCTCCGTTATAGAGCCCCAATCACAATAAGTAAACAAGTTTAATGAAGTAAACACCACAACATTTGTAGTAATTTGGTCTTTCTAGTAGATTGGCATGACTCAAGAAAATTACGGTTATTGAGAATGAGTTACTAATAATTATCGATTTTTCGTTACTTCTCAACTGTAGTCTGAGGCTTTTGAATACCTTTTTTTCCTATTTCCCTCCTGCTTGCTAGTCTTGCTGTCAGTAAGAGCGTGATCCTGTTTACTTAATTTGAGAATCAATTTTGGCGTTTGTGTCAAGTGATCGTATTCGTGCACATTTTACACAAGATCTTGACCTGAATAGCAAGACAGCTTTATTACTATTGGTTGACGGTGAGAGAACATCTAAAAAGATACTGTTCTCGGGTCCGGGAGTGTTTTTATAGTTCAGACAAAGAGGTTCTTTGGTTTGAACCAAAGCATCAGGATTTAGATATATGCTGCATTCCTTGATTGGTATCGTATATGTAAACTTACGTTGTAAATTATTAGTATTTCATTCCTGTTTTGTCAGAAATGTATTACTTCCATCATTATTATCAAAGCATACTCCATGACAGTCATAAGGAACTAACTATCAAATGATATTCCGGATTTAATAGCGGATATCGCCCAATAACCCAAGTCTGGCACATGGAGACGAATTCTCAGGTACGAGTTACTTTTACACCATAGCTCATTATTCCTTGACACAAAATCGTCATAGATTGTATCAAGCACCTTTCAACAAATACTTTATACCAACCACAAATTTAAACGAACGGTTGCATTGTATAAATACTAAGTAGCACTAATTATAATGTCTGATGACAAGTTTGGATGCGGTATGTGTTAGCTTGAATAGATCTTACAATCATAGGAGAATAGGCGGTGGGTCAGTCAAAATATAACCATGGGAGTGGGATGCAGCCATGGCAAACACAACTAGCCATTCTATGCGTAGACAACCTAGCACAGTCACTTAAGATTTCCTCCTAACACAGCTTCAAACGTACACACACACCCATCCTGAAGTCTACACTGTAGTTGCATTTCCTCTCTTTAAAAAAGAAATGTCTCCTAGACTAAGTACATAGACGGAAAACTAAGCTAGTGATAAGTCTAAAACATAAATCTCACGATAAATCACGATAAATACGCTGTCACCCTTCGTTTATAATATCCCTCCTGGACCATATGTGTCTGGTTCACACTTCATGATTCACCTCGGCTATCATCACTGCATACCAGAAACTACTTTCTATCTCCCTTATCATAATATCCATGCCCCCCTTATTATTTTGATTCTGACTAGCTACGCACTAACAATTAAGTAAATATTTTTTATTTATTCTGAAAAAATCGTCCCTTATTAACAACAGAATTATCACTGTGTTGCTTATACATTTCAACCAACTACCCTCCTGCCTGGTAATATGATATCTGTTGGTACCCAAAAACCTTACTGACGTGATAAAAACACACTTACTCAAACTACAAGATACACAAATCCACAAATAACCATCACACTGACTAGAATTAGGGGAATTGAATTATCAGACTATCACCCACTGAACACAATCAAATACCTAGAGATGTAGTAAAACAGTATTTAGCGATTGCGAAGAAATTAGTCAACTTACATGAACTGGTCAGAAAGACATTGGATACTGAAACTTTTTGAGGTCCAGTTTCGTTAACTCGAGAGAGAAAAGGCGGTAGAGCGATTATTTTGATCTTAAAGATGGGTTTGTGTGAGTATGCTGAAATTTACTTATAAACCTCATTTATGCGAATTAATTCATGTCGACCGTTGGAAATTTTTATTTAAACTTTACTAAGTCCTGCGAATTACTTCCACCATTTAAGTTTATAAACTTTGGGCACGTTAACGCGTTAAAATTACACAGGGTATTAACAATCACCATTTATAGTGAGGGGACGAAATAGTTCGATTCTGCTATCACAAATGTGGTCTGTTGTTTGTGAAGTATAACGTCCAGTATGTAATTTCTTACACAATTCCTGAGAGACCAGTAGAAGTGTTACTGAAATTCGAACGACTTTGGAGTCGGATACTTTGTAATCCGCTACAGTCTGTAATGGACTGCCCACTAAAGGCTTTGGATCTCTGTAATAAAGAACTTTGGGTATGTTTGTTTTTTTATCATGTGGTAAAAGTCATATTAAGTCTCTTGCATTAGAACAGATTTACTGCTATCTAGCAACTCTGTGAAATTAAGAGCAGGAGTGAGATAATTTGAAAAGGTATGTTTACAATGGATATCTGATTGACAAACGCATCACGGTTGGAAGTTCCATGATTTCCGTAGACCAAGCGAAAAACAACAATATGATAGATTGTCTCCTGAATTCAGAAAACCATCGATTTTATGATGTCCGAAAATCCTCATTGTGTATTGTTGCTCGCAAAAAGATAGAAAATATTGATAAAAATCCGAAAATTTTATGTAAAGAGAGTTAGAATAATGTGGGGTATTTCACTGTCCTTCCAAGAAATTCACTTTCCATAGATTCTCAAAATAGATAAAGTAATTTCGACCTTCATTGTTTTCTTTTTATCACCATGAAAGTTTACTTTCCATTTTACAAGCCATAAATAAATTCAAAAATATTCCAATTTTAGTGACTTTTCTTACCGTTTTAGTTTAACCGACGTATTCGCAGAATATAACTCCTATCTAAGGAAGACCTGTCTAGTCGCTTATTTGGAATGCAAATGGTTAACCCGCCACTAAGCATTGTGTTTCACAACTCCGACTATGTGAAAAAATTTTTTAATAAATCCAAACTAAATTCATTTTTTCGTAAGTAGGACTGAAGAAAATTAGCAACATTTACATAGTTAAATAGCGTTGTCAGAAAAAGTTCAGGAAGAGTCTTAAAGTCACGATATATGCTTGGAGAACAAAACTTCATCAAGATTATCCATCTGAGCTCTAAATCTTTTCCACCAACTCAAAGAGTTACATTGAAAACTTATCTGAAAAGTTTGTTTACAAATGAAAGGTAGATGTACACAGAATATAGTTGTAAACTGCATTTAATTTTTATTGTTCCATAAGGAGGCTGTAAAACTGGTTATTGATGAAACCGAAACAATGGAAATCATAGTACTATATATATAGAGTGAAAGTGGTATTGTTTGTCGTTTGAAACTATCAAAAAATCACAGTTGGACGAATACCAGTATGCACAGTCTAGATGGTATAGTAGTATGTTTGTATAAAGTTAGACTGTTGGGATTCTGATTTTGATATATATTGCAATATAAATGCATCGATGATATATTATCAATGTGTTTCTGACAATCTACGGATAAGATTGGCTGAATTAGGTTTTAGTTAGAATTTTGGTTGTCATGAGTCGCTGATAAGCATTACAAATGTTTTTGTATGACTGATTGATTTATTTGTATTTATATATAAGTTGCCATAGTTTTGCTCTATAAAATTTCATTATTGATGTTATCGTGAAGTTGCTTCCAGTCAAAACGATGGCTTGAAAACAACCTACTATGAGAATCATTATGTACCAGCAAGAGAGCGTGTTTTGATGTGGTTTTGTCATTGTCAAAAAAAACTGAGCGAACGAAAAATGATATCTCATAGTCTTAGGCAATAGTAGATTTTTTATTCCGCCCGATTATTAAAGAGGGTGTAAGTATACTTGTGAAACTCAAACATATGAGTTTGCAACTGATTTCAGGCTATAGTGCTGTCATAACTCGTAATGTTTGAAACAAACCGGTCTTAAAAATGCTTCGTTTCTAAGGTAAAGTGGGTAAATCAATAACATCAACGTTTACTGAAACCAATGTTATGTCCTCAAGAGCTACGAAGCTACGCAAAAATAAAATATTATCGTATAACGTTCATGTTTAGTAACAGTAGTCCTCACTGGGAGAAAGTTCATCACCTGTTATGTATTTTTTGATCAAGCTACTTTATCAGCATTGAAACCACTTCTACTGAGCTTATTAATGTATAATGTTCTAGCGAGTGGGTTATTGTAGTTAAACTGGTTTTCTCAAATTTGTTTCAACAAAATACTGTTTGAAAAAATCGTATGTGAACTCTCGATGTAAACATGTGTTTAAAAAACTAAAATGCCACCGGTTTTAGTCAAAACTCGGCACATATTGTCTACATTAACAAATAACTGTAGAATAATAATATGTCATTCAGCATTTTGAATATCTTTTTAATGTAAGCATTAGAGAACTGCTCGGAAAAATTGAACCATCCTTAAATGATATATTTTTGAATATCTACCTTTCCAAGTCATATTTAAAGTATAGTGATTACTAAGAACTAAAGCCAAATGAATATTTATCTTGCAAATATGGGAAATAATTGTGAAGTAACAAGATAATTAATGTAAAAGTTGCTTGATTGAATGTCATAGGGTTACACTTGTACAAAGTGAAGAGATCAGAATTTTGTTGCAAATCTAAAATCAATACTCAATATTTTATTAATCGCTGTTCAAACTAATTGGATTCCTGCTTTAGATTATGCTAGCTTACGGTGTTGTATTTTCTTCTACTTTTAACTACCCCACTGAGTCCTAGGTAGTACATTTTTGTTATCCTATGCCTCATGGAATCATCTCGTAATCGAAGTTTCTGTAATTTATTTAGAATTAACAAACAATATGCTTCATTTACTAAGGAAACTGCCAGAAGATTATTTTTAGGATACAGTCGATGAAATTCCATGCTTAGCACGTGTTTCTAACCTGATAGATGCAAAATATTACTTCTTGACTGGTAAACTTTAGATTATTTTAAAAATTGTAAGTGAAGTATTTGGCTGCATCTTTCCCTCTGGAGAATATAATGTAAGACACTTATTACTACATGACGCTACATCAATCCATGAAATCATTGCTTGTTGGAGTTTGGCATTTATTGCCAGTGATGACTGAGCACACTGGGAGAAATAACTCAAAATCAAGCTTTGTTAAAATCGGTTGCTAGGTAAATTTTCGGATTATTAATTATTCGAATAATGAAAGCTTTAGCTAGAATAATCAGGATAACCATTTACATGAACAAATAGGTGAATGTAGCAGTCTGATAATCTAACTTTATGAGGTAAATTGGCGGCCAACTCTAACATATGGGCTACCTGTTTCCGCTCTCTAGATATTTCAACAAGTTATCTGTTTTTGCTTGTTTTGAAACATCATTATGTTTGTTAATTGCACAACCTATTATTGTGCGCTTATGAAAAGTTTACAACCTACCGCTGTACAAGTAATAAAAGACATCGTGGTTGCTGGCAATATGCAGCGAAAAGAACGTAAGCTAACGATAATTATTTATAAATATTCTTCTTAACTTCACTTGTCGTTACAACCTTTATCTTGTATTTTCATTGTCGTGTAACTAAGGGCATTGTTAAAATATTGTTTAGCCTATTCAATCATAAAAAAGTATGCATTTTGTACAAAGACTGAATTTAGTTGTTAGTAATTAGTTCCTATAGTTTCATGCAGTAGCCTGAGTTTTCTTTTAAATAACATGTTATATGTCCTACTTCCTATAACACCAAGATCAGAATTTTAAATACGAATGTCAAGACAGTTCTACTGTATGGGGCGGAGACATGGAAAACTACGAAAGCCACCATCCAAAATATATGGGTGTTTATTGATAGTTGTCTACACAAAATACTTCGGATCCGTTGGCCAGACACTATCAGCTACAAGTCGCTATGGGAGACAACAAATCAGATTCCAGCGGAGGAAGAAATCAGGAGGAAGCGCTGGAAGTGGATAGGACACATATTGAGGAAGTCACCCAACTGCATCACAAGACAAACCCTTACATGGAATCCTGAAGGCCAAAGAAGAAGAGGAAGACCAATGAACACATTACGCCGAAAAATGGAAGCCGATATGAGAAGAATGGACAACAACTAGATAGAACTAGAAAGGAAGACCCAGGACAGAGTAGGTTGGAGAATGCTGGTCGGCTGCCTATGCTCCATTGGGAGTAACAGGCGTAAGTAAGTAAGATGTCCTACTTAATTTTAAGCCAATTGGATATTTTAATACATATTCATTCATTCAGTTAGTCAGTTACAACGAAGAACTTTGTACGTACGTACATCAGTTCGAGTTGCCATACCCCATTAGCACAGAGATTCAGTTGTCAATTCAAATCCTACATTATTGTGAAAGATTTGGGTTTGAAGATGTTATTGAAGCAGTATAATCCAGTGAAATAAATTTGGAAAGAGAAAAAAAGATTCAGAAATACATATTCAATAGTTGAATATAAACCGCAACGTATATTTTATACTGCTCGTTCAAACGAATTATCAAGTTAGTTGATGTAAAGAAAGTTTCGTAACTTACATCAATATTGGTTATATAGCTAACTTTTCAAAAAATTCTTTCAGGTGCACAACTTGACAACTGTTTTCCGTCCAGTATACGCCGTCATGTAGGACTTATTCTTGGTATTCTGGATTTATTCTTTTTTGGAGGATATCATTATGGATTTAATTCCCTCATTGGTATTTACAAATCCTTGGGTTTATTCGCTTACAACTGCACACAATCTGGTTGTATGTACAAAGAAGATATGTTTGGAATCAGCTTTAACGTATGGTTTGTTTCACAAATGTGCCTCATTACATTGGCCGGAATATTTATGGATAGAGTTGGATTGAGACCTTTAAAATTGGCTTCAACATTAATGTATGCTGCTGGCACTCTTATGTTTGCTTTTACAACTGGTAAAGTAGCACCACTTTTCTTTACTGCTGGTATTCTGGTTGCACTAAGTAGTATATGCAGCCTAATTTGTAATCATCAAATTAGTTCAATGTTCCCACATTTTCGTGGAATATGCATATCACTTATTTCCGGAGCCTTTGATTCGAGTACAGTTGTAGCGTATGTTGTATCGAAATATCACCCCTATTTTTCACTCCAGTGGTCATTTATATCATTATCAATAGGTTCATTCATTATGGGTTTGTTTATGGCAATGTTCATTTTCACTATGAAGTCAGTAGATATGGCCAAATTTGCAAAAATGGAAGTAAAGGAATCAGTTTTTCAGTCACGAGTAAGTAAAAGTTTATTAATGCTTAATCAATACGTATGATAATGTTATTAAATTTCAACAACTGAAATATCAGCGTCACCTGAAATCAATGTTGTCGCAAATCCGAACCGCAAAGGGAGATGCTAATATTCTGTTTTCGTGAACTGCGTTTGCATAGGATATCAAAAGTATGGTGCTTAGGCTACGTACAAATCAGTTCTACAGAAAATAAGGTTTAAAAGACTATGTTTTTTAAAAAAAAAATGATGTTTAATATGTATAACACAGAAACGTTAAAATCTGACATGTTTTGCATCTTCATTCACCTTTTGTTCTTGAGTCAAGCAATTCATTTTATCAGAATGCGGCTAAACAAAAACGGAGTTTGTTACCATTGTGTTATTTATGATAGTGAATGAACCAATTTCTTCTTACGTTAGTTACTATTGACAATAAGTGATTTATGGGTCATGCACAGATTACTTGGAGACTTTATTGACGCTTAAATGACTAGTTCTACGGTTGTTTATAATTAGATTACGTTCATTTATTTTGAATTGTTCTCTAGTTTTTACCTTTGTCAAGCTAATAACAACATTTTACAGATTATGTTTTTTTCTTATTAAAAGGAAAGTTGTCTGGAAGAATCATCATCAGTTGACGTTGACAAAGAACTGTCGAATGTTATTGATGAACGTTTTCCAACACTAAGGAAATGCATCTTTTCAGCTTCATATGCATTGATTAATTTATGGCTTATTCTTGGCTTATTTCGTTTTGCCATATTTTTAAGTCAGTTATACAGACAACTATTTCATTTGTTTCCAACAGATGAAAAACTAGTTGAACATCTATTAGAAGTGTCTTCAGTTTTTTCAATGTGCGGCTTTTTCGCAGCACCTATTTCTGGAGTGATTATTGATTTGTCTTTGAGACGTTCTCGTGATAAAGTGGCAAATATGCTAATTAGTAACAAATTCAATGTATCTAATAGAGAAATGTATTATAATTACATTTGTGGTTTAGTGCCTGCACTCACAATAATGGGCATATTTGCTGTTATTTTAAGTGCAATGATGTTTATTCCTGACACTATTGCCATTTATACAGCATTTGTCTGTTTAGTTATTGTTCGATCAATAATGTTTAGTGCGTTTGTCAGTTATTTATTGACAGGTTTCCCAATACGTTATTTCGGCACATTGAATGGTATTTCAAGTGCCATGGCTGGTTTATTCAGTCTGCTACAACATATTTTTCTGCACACAAGCGGTACTACGGCTAACTCAGTGTCGATGGCAGCATCTGTCAGTTTATTTATTACACCTTTCGCACTATTGATGTTAAGACGTTAAATGTGTTTTGCAAAAGGTTAATTTATGGGTTTCTGATGTATTTGTTTCAAATATTCCACAAAATTACTTATGATTGCTTCACTTTTCTTTTGTTTTTGTTCCACTTACACATATATTTAATCAAACGATTCATCTAATCCTCCCTCCCTCAATCCTCTATTCCCAAACTGCTCATTTCTGTGCCTTATTTGAGTATGAATTTTGTGGTCTTTAATTTAACTTTTAAAAAGAATAAACAGAAATAAGTGGACGAAAAAAGCAATAATATTTTGTACCGATCTTTCTGGGATTTCTATTTAATTATCGTACTGCTTATGTGATTTTCATCCAGTTATTCACAATATTTGTCAGTCGAAACATATTAATAGGTTCCGTAAACATTGTTTTGAAGTCTTTACTACCTCAACATTTCAAAATAGTGGACTACCAGCTTTTTTCGATCTCATGCAATTGTGTCATTTTCAGAAAAATCAATTCCATAACGAATGCTCCATATATTAATATAGTCTAAACTATTAGCAGTATAAAAAAGGGACTCAGTGAGTGCTTTAAGTATAGTGCGAAACTCACAGAAGCGAAAACCACTCTGAATTTTATTCGTAATTGCACTTTTGCACACCGATATCCTAAAGATTGTCCTGAATTCTTTCGCTGATGCAAAACTGAACCTAATAATAAATCTTTAAAAATATACAAAATGAGCAGACTGAGGTAAAATGCTGTATCAACCTATAAGACCAGTCGTTTATATTACATATAGAAGAGAATTTTATTCAAATGTCTTGGTCGACCGCATGTTAATCATTGTTATCATTATCAGCAGGGTGGATCATGTTGTGCAAGTAATAAACTAAAGATGGTTGTGAAATACTGGATACCGATATCTTTCCTTAAAAACATTTGTCACTCACTCATATCGAATATTTCTACTAAAATTTAGTAATAAAAGCTATATTCATTTAAAACACATTACTTCAACTTTAAGTAGCGATATAGTAGTGAATTGGGAATGAATTTTGTTACAAATTGGCGATTATTCATTCATATCCGAAAGTTACAGTTTCCTCCTGTTGTACGTAGTGAATAAATATTACGAAATAACGTTTTCAGCATTTATGTGATATTCAGAGTTTGTTAGCCATTATTTACCTAGGTGAAGTGCAAAGAGCTTCCACCCTCCTATTAAAATTAATTGTTTACACATTCGCGTACTAGTTTGTTGTCTATACTATTCTTCTTTAGGTGTTGTACTTAAATGAACAAAATATTGCTAATACTCTTTCTTCACTGAAACGTTTTATCATAATAGTGTAAACGTAAATCGAAAGCCATTTGAACAGTTATACAAATAATTCAGTTAAATATGTAGACATTAGGAATCTAACTGCCATTTCATTGCCATATAGAAAGACCCTCTTTGCAATATTTAAAAAAACGGTTGAACAGTCTAAAAAATTAAAACAAGAGTTTTAAATGCTGTAATGAAAAACTTCTATTAATCAGTTACAGCCACTATCTACCAGCATTCGCGGTTATCGGAATAACTATAACCAATTGATCGTAAGCTGGACAGAATGGATTGGATTCGCAGGTTATGTTGTTGTACTTCGGTAATGAAGAAGGAAATGCTTCGCACACACAAGAAGTTGCATTGATGTTGTCCACAGAAGCACGAAAACCACCTATAAGATGGGAATCTCATGAATCCGCAATTATCAAGTCAACCTTAAAAACAAAGAATGAGGGAATCACAATGAATGTTATCCAGTGCTATGTACCCATCAATGATAGCAACGACGATGATAAAGACCAGTTTCATGAGAGGCTGCAGTCGATTCTAGAGAAGCATCCAGAAAACGACGTGACCATCCGGATGGGAGACCTAGACGCTTAACTCGGAGTGGACAAAACAAGGTTTAAAGATATCATGAGATGACATGGACTAGAAGGAAGGGACAAAAATGGTGAGAGATTCGCAAATTTATGTGCTTTCAACAAAATGGTTATATGTGGCTTTATAGTCCCCCGTAAGATCATACACAAAGTTACATGGCTCTCACTAGGTCACACCATTGAGAACCAGATAGATCATATTTGCATTGCTAAAAGGATCAGAAGGCAATGATAGACGTGAGAACAAAGTGACGAGTTAAACTAGCTTCAGATCACCACCAAATGGTGGCTGCCAAGATGAAAATAAATCTAAAGAAACACTGGACAACTGGAAAAACAGCATTACAAAGGTTCAATACAGCCTTGCTTCGAGATACTGACAAAGTCAACCAATTCAAGATAACTCCCAACAACAGGCCCCAAGCCCTACAAGCTATATTCAACGAAGAAGAATATACTATGGAGGACAGTTGGAAGAATATCAAGAAGCACTAACTTCAATATGTTAGAAGCTTCTGGGCCGCAACAAACATCATCCTAGGAAATGGATCTCCATCGAAACCCTGGACAAGATTCAAGAAATGAAAAACAAGAAGAGAGCAATTAATAACAGATGAACAAGAACAGAGAAAATCAGGGCACACTCTGAATACACAGAAACAAACAAACAAGTGAAGAAAAGCATTAAAATGGACAAGCAGAAATATGTGGAATACCCAGCAACGATAGCGGAAAAAGCTGCAACAGAAGAAAATATGAATCAACTATATGACACGACGAAGAAACTTGTAGAGAAACATGGTAAACTAGAAAGACCGTACAAGGACAAATATGGCGAACCAACCATTGAGATTCAGGAACAGAATAGCAGATGTGTAGAACACTTTGAGGAATTCTTGAATAGGCCAGCTCCATTGAATCCATCGGATATCGAAGCAGCACACACAAACAGTACTGCCAGAGAAACGATTGATTGATGAATATGAACCAGAATGTTGGTTGTGATTGAAATGAATCACTGTCAGATATGTTATTTGAAATTATTTTATCCTTTTCTGCAATACTCAGGGAAGTGACAAAATTAACATATGATGCAGAGTTGTTGATGAGTCGATTGGATTTTTTTGTTCGTAATCGTAGTTTCTACGCTAGTAACTGAGATCAAGTCGGTCAACTCGCACGAGGGACTCGAACCCAACACTTTCGATCTCGCGAGCAAATGCTTCATGTCTAGACCACTGAGCCGACATCCAACGGTGTTAATGTCTAGTTCTAGTGAGAAGCCAAGACCCGTGTAGTCCAATCAGTGTCGGATGGAGACAGTTATCCATCTCAGACAATGAATGAAGGGTTGCGCGAAATTATGGATCGATTGAAGTTAGACATTGAAACTGTAGTTGTCGAGTGCCGTGTGTGGGATTGTGGTTGCGCCCTGCTCAGTCGTCTGTATTCGAGAACATATGGGACTCAAAACAATTGTCGGCCATCATCAAACCAGAATCTTGATTGGTTATTTATTCTCCGAAGAAGTGGCTAACACTTACCCACGAAACGTCCGAAAATTTAGTTTTTCCACTTATTTGGATATTACAAATATATTAATTTCATTATAACGACCTACCCAACGCTCAATCTATTCGAAGTTATCAAGTCAATCCATAGTAATGATACCTATAAGTATCGATAATATGAATCTTAATTATGTTTTGTCAGCATAGTTTCTAGATTTTCTGAAATCGAAGCGTTACCTGTTTATATTTAGCATAGATTTTTGAGTGCGAATTGTCACAATAAATCTCAATGTTGTTGTATTTTACGCGGAGAGATTCACATAATTTTATACTAGCCTAATAAAAAATATTAAACGTTGAAAACAAGACCTTTGAAAACAGAAATTCATGGCAACATGTCTGATATCAGAAACATTATTTCTGACATTCAGATGTTGTCCTTTGATATACCTGAAAAATAATACGTAACTAAGTTCTGTCTGTCCTTCTAAAATGTATGAAATTCTGTACATATAAAATTATTTTGTTAGAGGACAGATCAGAGTTATATTATAAGTAAAGGGAATGATTTGAATCGCTTTAAATAAGTTATACGGGTGACTAAGTCAGTCAGTCAGTCACAACGTAGAACTTCGTACGTACGTACGTACGTACAGCAGTTCGAGTTGCCATACGACATTAGCATAGAGATGTAGCTGTCGATTCAAATCTCATAGTGGTAGAAGTAGTAAGAGTATAAGCATTATGTGAAAGATAAGGGTTTGAAGATGTTGTTCAAGGAGCATAATCCAGTGAAATAAATTTGGAAAGAGAAAAAAGATAGGGACATAAAGAATTCAGAAGATTAGAATTTGGTAGAACACAAAGAGTGGATGCACCCTCGCCATTGCAAACGATTTCGAGCTATGTCATTCAAGGTCTCTAACCATCGGTTGCTATCATCTCGCGAATCCCAACCAGGTAGTCTACACCTACCAACATGACTCAGTCCAATTGTTAGTGACTTCATGGATTTGTGCCACGTTTTGGTCTGGCCGCCCCTAGCTTTCTTCCAACCTACACCATAAAACATTGCACGTCGGGGCAGTCGATGGTTGGGCATACGTAACACGTGTCCCAGCCATCTCAACTGATGAGGTTTCACTACTTCATCAGTTGAGATTGCTGAATATTCAGTAGAATTTGAATTCAACATTATTGAAGAGATATTATTCTATAATGTTTTTCAAGAAACTATTTGATGAAACAGTGATTCAATGTGCATTTTAAACATACAATAAATGACTGACTCATCGTAATAATGAAGAACTCTGGTTGAGATTTACGTTAGAAATATCTTATGTACTCCTTTCATTACGGAGTATGTTGTTAGAATATTGGATTCTCAACTGAATTAAATCCTCCATGCTTGGTGTATCGTCTCATGCCTCTAAAATTCAGAATTGATAAATTATTTTCATAAATTAGGACAGTTCTCAGCATCAAGTACAAAATTAATAATGCATGTGTAATACGGCCATCTATTAATGTATTATTTCAGAATCGCCTATTTATGTGACACCTGTAGTGAAACTGATCGGAGGTGAAAGAAATCATGAAAATGCAAAACCAATAATAATTCGAAAAAATGAAATGACAGTATGTAAATAAGAATAAATGTAAATAACACTTTGAACCAAGTAATATGTCGGATGAAAAAGTGATCACAACCGTTATGTAATAAGTTTTACTTCAGACTTTCTTTTTAGGTAACGACCACAAATGGACTTCACTCAACTATTAGATATTTTTCTTTTGGGTTTGACATTAACGGCATAAAGAGGAGTATATAACCAACAACGTTAACAATAGGTCATCTAGATCACCAGTCCCTAGTACTGTAATGTGGTCTAAAAGGGCATCACAACACTGTTATTCTCTTCAGTCAATGCCGTGGCCAATAAAGCAGAAACAGAATGGTGTAGATAGTA